CCCCAAAACCCCAAAACCCCTCAATGATTTAAAGTGTGGGTAATAATGAAATTAAAAATCAAATATTTATAAATTTAGGCTCAATTAATATCAATAGTATTTATGAAATCTCAGCTTAAGTGGTTCAAGAAGAGCTTCTTGAAAATCGATATTTATGGCCGCTAAATCAAATTCAAGTATTAAGGTTAAGATACTAAAAAGACCTATCCAGGTGCCTTTGCAACAATTCTAACAATTTTATTCGTGTTTACACATTTTGCTTTCTAACTGAAAGACATTTTCAATAATAAATTTACAATGAAGTCTTTCAACCACCCTTAAGACATGACATCTTAGGATATTAACATAACCTAAAATCAGTTTGATTTCGGAATTAACATTATTTCACCTTTGTATTACAGTGCTGAGAGTTATCTGGGTTATTCATTGGAGTAGTTTATGAATATTTCAATGATTTAGTACAATAAAGACTACTCATCTGTTTATTTAGGATTCTAAAATTGCACAAATGATAGGTTTTTAGGAGATGAAAGTTTTTAAAACTTATCTAGTGTAGATCCTTCATACTGGAACAATATCAAATGTTCATAAGCAAACTAAGTTATGAGTCTTTCTGGCAAGTAGGGCTTTTCATATATGTACTTAATGATTGGGAGATGTGATTAGAAATATCTTGAGAGCATCCTTCCTGAAAAAGTATGCGTTAGTGATAATGATGTGCTAAATAAATTTATCGAGGATACTACTTTCTAATTTATGTATACTCGTCAATATTTTGATCCTTAGGAGTTTAAGAGTTCACCTGTTAAGACAAAGGTGGAAACACTAGATTTGATACTTTAAGAGACTTAGATGACCAGTATTGATGCTTAGCTGTAGTTACTAACTGCTCTAGATTTAAATTCTAAGATACATGATTCTCTAGATAGTTAGGAATACTTGTTGACTCAAGCTATTATATCGACTGTTGAATCAGCTTAGAACTGGAGGAAAAACTACTTATAGATAGAATTTTCAATCCAAAATCAGTATAATCATCTTGAGAGACAGATGTTCAACTACGTGCAAGCAATATGCTTATCAGGAGGTCTAGCAGGAATACTAATTATCTTTGCAAAAATATGTCTAATGCCTTTCATCGAGCTAATCTTCTATTCAAGCTTGATGAAAAGTTCTTTCTTGATAGGTAAAGAGTTTCTTACAGAGTAAAACTTAGGCAACACTGACAACTTTGATTCTGTATTAGATAGCTTTAAATAGAAACCCATTATTGATCGATATAATTTAAGCAATAATAAACCAGAGGATTATTAACGATTAGCCTAAAAATTAAACAGTAGAGTTAAATTCAAGTATTCATCACTTCAGTTTATAAAGGATTCAATATTTGGATGTTGTCTTTGCTCTAAGAAAAATAAAGTGACTACTCTAAGATAGCTATTTCTATATGGCAAAAAGAAGTTAGATCAATCAATGGATATTAAGAAAGTCATCTATCAGCTAAGAGAATATGAGATCTTAAAAAACATTCTTTTGACTAGATAGCAAAAGAAGTTACTTCCTTTTCTCTAAAAGAATAGGATAGATAAACAATTTGAGAAAAGAGTCATTACAGTAAAGAAACCGACTTAGATATAAAAAGAAGAATAGACTCTTAACTTGATTCTTGAACATTTCTCAGAAAATTTAGATCCGAAGAATAACTTTAATAAACGCATATTCGAGAACCTTGTCACCCAAATAGACGAGTAGCCAACCTAAGAAAGAGATAAGTCACTCAAACAGAAAATGTTTACGGGCATCATTAAGAAGTGCATTCGAGCAAATACAGGAATACTAACTAAAGAGACAAAATTTGAATCAATGAAAATTAAGAAGGGCATCTCCCAGAGTTTCATTAATGAAGAAGAGGAAAGCTATGACTAATTTATGAGTAAACAGAATCAAAATTAGATGACAAGCATGCGTACCAAAAACCGAGCAGCTGATCAGAGTGTTTATAACTTAGATGATGAAGCAGATGGACAGTAAGCTATATTTTAGAACTCTAAATCTGTGTTTAAAACCTATGATCATCTTCCTATAGATAGTCAAAGGAAAAATAAGCCTAGGAAGAATAAAATTGTGATGAAAGCCAAAACAAGAATTGTGAAGAGACCAATCGAGCTTCAACAAAATCATGATAGCGAGATATGAGCTCTCAAGACTCGAGTATTTGAACTTATTATTTCACCAAATGAATTATATTTAAAATAGACAGAATGCGTATGCGGGAAAATTAAATTAAATTGATTTCATAAATAATTAATACCTCAATCTGAACAAATATTCATTGGGGTTTTGGGGTTTTGGGGTTTTGGGG